ATTAAATTAAGTTTAAGTTTTAAATATTTAATTTTATTTTTACAAATCATATATATAAAAAGAAATACTTTATTTCTCCAAAATTTTATGTACTTAAGACTATGATAAGGTAAATTAATTATATATGTAGAGATTAACTCTTGAATATAGATTGCGACTTTATATTTAAAGAGCATTCACATCTTAAAAGTAAAAAAAGAATATTTGTATATTTGTTAGGTTAGAATCTTCAAACTTTTAGCAACAGAAATTAAAGCTCTAGGAATTGGCATACGCATGCATTAATCTATTTTTGTTACATTCATACCTTTAATACATAAGAATAAAATGTGTCAACTCTTAACAGTTAATTTTCAATAATTAAAGACGCTTAAAACTCAAAAACAATGCCCACTTTTGGTCTTCTAAACGTCACCCTTTTAAAACTTTTTTCTTTGACAAACTGTAATCAGAGGTTCATAATTTTATCATGTATATATACATTTCAATATAAATATATAGTCTTATTGTCACGGGTTGAGACTTAAACTCTGAACTCGCGTGGTTTCGGGATCCAGACATTCACCCTTCCGACGTCCCGAATCAACCTGACTGTCATGGTTCACACTTTTGTGAGGTATTGTCCGCTCTGACCTCCCCTGATCTCACGGTTTTATCTTACAAAAACACCTCACAAAGCGGAGGTGGTGTGAACCCTTTTATACCCCAGGAACCTTCCTATTATGTTCGATGTGAGATTCAAGACTCTTTCTTAGGTTCGTGACATTCTCCCGCACCCAACCTCGTGACGCCCTCGTCACGGAGGCTGGTTACCCTGCCTACCTCCCTCGAGGTACTTGGCGTGGATCGAACGGTTTAGGACTGGCTCTGATACCATTTGTCACGGGTCGAGACTTAAGCTCCGAACCCGCGCGGCTCCGAGACCTGAGCATTCACCCTTCCGGCGTCTCAGATCAACCTAACCGTCACGGTTCACACCCTTGTGAGGTATTATCCGCTCTGGTCTTCCTGACCTTACGGTTTTGTCTTACAAAAGGTACCTCACAAGACGGAAGTGGTGTGAACCCTTTTATATCTCAGGAACCTTCCTATTATGTTCGATGTGAGATTCAGGACTCTTCCTTAAGTCCGTGACATTATGACTTATCTATCCATATTACAATCTTTACCTGTTCGATTACATAAAATACAAAATATATATGTTATGAAATCTTTAATCTTCACAGCAATTATTTAACAAGGTAATAAAATATTTATAATTACCATGTTTTTTGCAACACAATCAATTCTTTAACTTTAAATAGATAAATGTTATTCTTCAATTACTTCCTCCAATGTGCGTAATATAATCTCTAATATCTTCATATGACATTATTTTTTTTTCGGGTACATACTCAACGCTTATGACAAAAAAAATTAAATCTTAAACATCAATTAAAATACTTTGATCTTGTATCTGAACTACAGACTAACCGATCCTCTGTTTGATATGTAATAAATTTCTCCTTTCAAATTCTTTTTGTAAATTGTCCCAGGCAAAATTGTCTTTAGCCAGCAAGTAAATATTGCTTCCATGGCATTGCAGAGCTGCACTTGACTGGAAGACTTTTCGTATTTCTATGGCGGCCCTTGTTTGGATTCTGATGCTTCCTCTCATTCTCATAGTTGAACGAGTGCGATCCCGTCAAAGCCAAGGTATGTTTGGCAGTGGCCTCGTGGGAATGGAGAGGAAAAGAGAAAATAAATATTAAAACTAATTAAGATTTATTTTTGTTGCAGTAACATGAATCGAATCATCGATGGACTTGCTGAAATTGCTCTATCTTGATTTTTTTTTGTTTTTCAAGATGTCAATTTCATTTATATTTCAAATAAAGATAAAGATAAATATTATATTATATTATATTATATTATATTATATTATAGGGATGAGTATAAAAATGAGTATACTTTTAATTTTTATTAAGTATAAAAATGAGATAAATAATATAATATTCATCCGTATATGTATTTAAAATATATATTTGTGTATATTTAACAAATAAATTTTTATTAAATAATATAAATTATTATTTTAGATTAATTAAAATTAATATATTTTTATTTAAAAAATATTAGTATATTTATAAAAAATTATATAAATATATAAAATTAAAATAAAACAATAAAAGTTTCGTTTTTATTTTTGTTTAAGAGACTAATCCTTATATTTATTGAGAATATTGACTCAAATCCCATAAGAGATTTATTTGAGATTTATCAGATATTGCTTGATGGACAAGAAGACTTGTAAAAGAAGAATTCTAAGAGAATGAAGATTCTTAATAGGTAAGTTTGACTTGCAAGAAAAGAATTCTAAAAGGAAAGAGATTCTTAATAAGCAAGTTTGACTTACAAGAGAAGAATTATAAGAGGAGAGAGATTCTTAATGGACAAGTTTGTATGATTATAAATATGTGAAGTCTTTATAGGGTTAGGTATGAGAAAAAGATGTAAGAGAGTTTAGGGTTTTGTGAGATAGACACCCCATAGGAGTATTGGAGCTCTACGTCTTATGGGTGTGTATGTTTGTTTGTGAGTGAACTAGAGGAGACTGAGATGGTCCACATAGGTATGATGTATGAAAGCATATCAGTATGTGTTTAGTTATGTTGAAAGGATGCACAAGGGTTTGAGTTTGTGTTTATTTGGGTTAAGAATACTTCATAGGACTAGAGGAGATTGAGAGTGTCTTATGAGTATTGATTGTTAAGTGAGGTTGATGATTTGATGTATGTTTGTAATTCTCTATAACTAGTGGATCTTATTTCTCATCCGTGGATGTAGGTTAGTTGGATCGAATCACGTTAAATTATTTTCTCTTTGTGTTTGATTTATTGTTTAATTTTACTTCCACTGGTGTGATTGGATTAGAGGCTTTTAGCTCAACAAATGATTTTAGAGCTGTGGTGTTCTCCAACAAGTAGTATCAGAGCTGAAGGTTCGAGACGTGAAAGATCTGAAAGTTCGAGATGTGGGAAGAACTAAAGGTTTAAGATATGAGAAGTGCATGGTCTGAGACATGAGAAGAAGCAAGTCTAGAAGAGCACAATTCAAGATAAGAGTTCAAGTTTAAGTTTTGAAGATTGAGTATTAGTTTGTATGAAGCGTGAAGACACAAGATAAGAGAATATGATTGTGAGACTTCCATTGCAAGTGAAGCCAAACATGTCTAGCATGACGATAGATGATTTGAAGAAATTTGAGTCAAGGTGGAGATTGTTGAGAATATTGACTCAAATCTCATAAGAGATTTGTTTGAGATTTGTCAGATATTGCTTGATGGACAAGAAGATTTGTAAAAGAAGAATTCTAAAAAAAAGAGGATTCTTAATAGGTAAGTTTGACTTGCAAGAGAAGAATTCTAAAAGGAAATGGATTTTTAATAGACAAGTTTAACTTAAAAAAAAGAATTCTAAGAGAAGAGAGATTCTTAATGGGCAAGTTTGTATAGTTATAAATAGGTGAAGTCTTTACAGGGTTAGGTATGAGAAAAAGATATAAGAGAGTTATACGATTTTGTGGGATAGACACCTCATAGGAGTATTGGGGCTCTACGTCTTATGGATGTGTATGTTTGTTTGTGAGTGGACTAGAGGAGATTGAGAGAGTCCACATAAGTATGATGTATGGGAGCATATAGGTATGTGTTTGGTTATCTTGAAAGGGTGCACAAGGGTTTGTGTTTATGTTTGTGTTTGTTTGGGTTGAGAATACTTTATAAGACTAGAGGAGATTGAGAGTGTCTTATGAGTATTGATTGTTAAGTGAGGTTGATGATTTGATGTATGTTTGTAATTTTTTATAATTAGTGGATCTTGTTTCTCATCCGTAGATGTAGATTAGTTAAATTGAACTACGTTAAATTATTTTTTTTGTGTGTTTGATTTATTGTTTGATTTTACTTCCGCTGATGTGATTGGATTTGAGACTTTTAACTCAACAATATTCATGAAAACGAAGATGATAATAAATTTGAAATATGTGTATGAATATTAATATAATATAAAATTCAAAAATAAAAATAAAAATACTTTACCTATCCATCTGGCATCCCTACCCAATAAAGCAAGAGATGGCAATAGGAAATAAATGAGGAAGGGGAACGTGTAAAGAAAGCCCTTTTGACACGCCAGGAAAATTAAATGCAAAGAGCAATAAGATAAAAGCAGGCATTTACTGCATTTAGTTGTCTATAGCTTCAAATCAACCACAAATGCAAACTGATCATGCATGATCATCAACTTTATGTCAAAGGAGGAAAAAGATAACGAAATTTGCTGATTTCTGTCTGGCTAGTTGGTGAGCTACGATCAGTGATGACATTCTTGTAATTGCAACAGGTTTTTCTGTTACTACTAGAAACTCAAGACGATAAAAGGATGAGACGTCTTGGAATAAAACGGGGTTTCTATGTTAAATATATTTCGATTACTTCCATGAACCAAACTTTTTACGTAGAGTACTTTTCCTTCGTTCTCCAGAAAAATATAAGGAATGAAAGGGTTTTATCGTATTACCATGATCACATTGAGATGGTTGTGACGTCTTTTTAAAGTCATTGCATTTTAATTACTATGTAAAATTTGTATTCTTATAGTTATATAGGAGATCACGGTCATGATGTTGGGTGACAAATTTTTCCACAAAAACTTAGATCAGCTTAATGTAGAATATGGTGCCATAAACATTTACGTTACTGCTGTCTCTTTTTCAAATATTTGTAGTCAATCTTATGCTAAAATAATATTTGTGTATTTGATGATTCAATAATTAGTGCATTTGTGATCATTTATTAAAAACAATTATGATCGATCTGGCTATTATAATCAATTGGGTCTTTTTTTTTTTTTAAATCCACTTGGCTTTTGTTATCTAGTAATTAATTATTTATATATTTATCCAGGGAGATTACTGTCATCTTTTGTTTATTTAATTCTTATCTTTTTTATATGAGTCAATGAAAATGCTACCTTTATAATTAATTATAGTTGAATAAAGAAGAGCAAACGAGTGAACAGATAGTCATGTGGAACGAAGTACAAAGTTGCGGCATTGTTTTAGCAAACCTCAAATAAAGTGCAATGAATCAAAGTCCGTGAAATACGCCACAGTTTTGACAATTAGCGACGAGCAATTAACACTGCCACCCCTCTTGCTACCTCCCCCGCCCCTCGCTATAAATTCTTAGTCTCCTCTTCACATTCTCCATTGATTCCTACAGAGAATCGATCTTCCCTCCAAAATTACTTCCTTTGATGAACAAATTAGATCCAATTTAGGACAAGTTATCTGACAAAAATAAAGGATGTCTTTTAACATTACCTCCATTAAAACCTCGTCAAATGGAGCTTGGCAAGGTGATAATCCTCTCAATTTTGCCTTCCCATTGTTAATAGTTCAAACCACTTTAATCCTTGTCCTTAGCTGCTTCCTTGCTTTCCTTCTCAAACCCCTTCGCCAACCCAAAGTCATTGCTGAAATAGTTGTATGTATCTTTCTTCCATACATATGTGTATTATTAGTATTGAAATTGATGCAGATTGATGATCTTGATTGGTGAATCTATGATTTTCAGGGGGGAATTCTTCTTGGGCCGTCAGCTTTTGGTCGAAGCAAAGACTACTTGCATCGAATATTTCCGTCATGGAGTATGCCGGTGCTCGAAACCGTGGCAAGCATTGGTCTTCTTTTCTTCCTTTTCCTTGTAGGTCTCGAGCTCGATTTAAGTTCAATTCGTCGAAGTGGAAGGAAGGCCTTTGGCATAGCATTCTTCGGAATATCCCTACCGTTCATCTGTGGCATAGGCGTTGCATTTGTCCTTAGGAAAACCGTTGATGGAGCCGACAAAGTCGGGTACGGTCAGTTCCTAGTCTTCATGGGAGTAGCACTCTCCATCACTGCTTTCCCTGTTCTCGCCCGAATTTTAGCAGAGCTCAAATTGTTAACAACCCAAGTGGGAGAAATCGCCATGGCTGCAGCTGCGTTCAACGACGTCGCTGCATGGATTTTATTAGCTCTAGCCATTGCTCTCGCTGGAAATGGCTCTGGTGAACACAAAAGCCCCTTAATATCAATCTGGGTCCTTCTCTCAGGTGTTGCTTTTGTTGTTTTTATGTTGTTAGTAATCCGCCCCGCCATGAAATGGGTGGCTCGCCGGTGCTCCCCAGAGCGACACGTCATCGACGAGGCATATATTTGTTTAACCTTAGCTGGTGTAATGGTATCCGGATTCATAACTGACCTGATTGGAATACATTCAATCTTTGGTGCCTTTATTTTTGGACTAACAATTCCTAAAGAAGGAGAATTTGCAGAGAGATTGATAGAAAGGATTGAAGATTTCGTATCGGGTTTGCTTCTTCCGCTTTACTTTGCGTCTAGTGGGTTGAAAACAGATGTGGCTAAAATTAGTGGTGGGAGGGCTTGGGGCCTATTGGCTCTGGTTATATCGACGGCCTGCGCAGGGAAGATCATAGGGACGTTTGCCGTAGCTTTGATGTTTAGCATGCCCGTGAGAGAGTCGTTGGCGCTTGGCGTTTTAATGAATACTAAAGGATTGGTTGAACTCATTGTTCTCAACATTGGGAAGGAGAAGAAGGTAAGTTCCGTTTACTTTTCGGTGGTTAGTACTAATAATAACTTAATATTTTTATTTAATAACTTTTTTTATTATTAGATAAGGAATTTGATATTATACCATTTTGAATTCTCATTTTATATCTTTTTAAATTTTTTTTTAATAATTTAACTAGAAAAACTAAAGACTATTTAATAATATCTTTAATTGCATTCTTTGATGATATATTAAATGGTATCTTTTTAACCTATTTTTATCTTTAAAAAATTACCCGGTTTTTGCATTTTTTAGTTGTTCTAAGATAAATTTCATTTGAAAAAACAAAAATTACACGGTTACTCTTACTTTTTTGTTACCTTTAATTATAGTTACAAATTGTTTTCTCTTTTTTCAATATGTGATTCAAGAAAAAAATTCCTTACATAATCAGTGAAAGTCAAAATTTAAACAAAAAATTAAAATTAATTTAGATAATTGTCACCGAGTGGATATTAGAATTCAAAAAACGAAGGTGAGGGGAAGAAAATTCTGGTGGTTTGTCATTGCTCTAAGTCAAACGCGCAATTTTTTCTTCTCGGTGTATGTCAAGTCTCTCTTTTTTAATACTTGTCCAATGATAAGACAGGAAAGGAGAAGTGTCAATCTTGGCTTTGCCCGTAAAAATTTCTCCCTTCTTGACAACCTGATTTGCCATTTTGGTCTACACCCTACAGCTAGCGCTGATATTTCAATTTTGGATGGCAAATTCTTCCACACGAAAAGTCTAGCTATTTGTCGACCTTATTATTTAGGCTTTCTTTAGGAGTCGCATGAGAATATCTTTATCATAACTTAAATCTTAGTATTAGTTTTATCGATAGTTAGCTTAATCTTAATACTTTAGCTATTCATGCCTAATTAGCAAGAAAGCTGGAAATGTTAAAGAATGAAAAGGAAAATTTTTTTTTTGAAAATGGTTATCCTATAAAATATATAATATAAAAACATCCAACATTTCCATGTTCCTAGACAACCTTAACGATTGGTTCAAATACTTAAAAAGTTGAATGGCATAATAATGAGCTGTCAGCATCATTACTTTAGTATTGTTTTTTTAAAATTAAATTCTCTTTCTGAGCATAATTTTTCCTATATGTTGACTACATAACAATCAAAAAAATTAAAGCAAGAAACCTTAAAATTTCCATTCCAAGGACCTAGGACAATTTGCAAATCAAAGTCTCAAATTTTGTTGAGACCCTGTTCTTCATCAAACAAAGCGGGGTCCCATGTGCAAAACTTTATCGAAGAAATCCACAGAAATTTTCCGAAAAGATAGTTTCAAGCAAATTCGGGTGAATACTCGAGGTTGGTGGCTTTACTTTCTGGTGAACTCAAAAGCCAAAACCAAACGTGTAAACAGTCCAATTTTCTTACAGCCATCATTTAGCCATGGCTAAGTCGGCAGCCTTGTCATCATTGTCGTGACTAGAGAGTAGTCGGCTATAATTGTGAAAGCACATTAACATCGTTGCATGTTCAACATTTTCTTTACTTTTTTATAAATTACTGGCTTCCTTTCTTTTTCTAGCTTTTAATATTCACATATCAACCACAGAAAGTCAAATTGTTACAAACTTTTTTTTTTTTGGGGGGGGGGGGGCGGGGTGGGGACAATCTTGCAATACTAAGTATGTTGAACTTGCAGGTGCTTAATGACGAGACTTTTGCTATTTTGGTCCTCATGGCACTCTTTACCACCTTTATCACAACACCAATCGTTTTGGCCATCTACAAGCCGGCACGCGGTTCCTCAGCCCTCCCTCGCCGGAAATTACGTGACTTGACCAACACCGACAAGTCCAAAGACGAGCTTAGGGTCCTGGCTTGCCTCCATGGCCTTAGCAATGTGCCTTCAATCATCAGTCTTATTGAGTCAACTAGAAGCACCAAAAAATCCCAACTCAAGCTTTTCATTATGCACCTTGTTGAACTCACGGAACGTTCTTCTTCAATCATCATGGTCCATCGGGCTCGAAGAAATGGGCTTCCTTTCATTAACAGGCTTCGCAGGGGAGAGTGGCAGGACCGAGTTGCAGGAGCTTTCCAGGCCTACAGCCAATTAGGTCGAGTCTCAGTTAGGCCCACAACAGCCATCTCTGCATTGTCCACTATTCATGAGGATATTTGCCACGTGGCAGAGACCAAAAGGGTGACAATGATCGTCTTGCCTTTCCACAAACAATGGAAGAGAGAGGGCGAGCAGCAAACAGTAGAAAATGTGGGCCATGGATGGAGACTGGTTAATCAAAGGGTGCTAAGGAGCGCACCATGTTCAGTGGCAGTGCTCGTGGATCGTGGATTTGGTAACGAAGCCCAGAGTCCTGCGCCCATTTCCACTACGGCTCATAGGGTGTGCATCTTGTTCTTTGGTGGGCCTGATGATCGTGAGGCTTTGGAGTTGGGTGGTAGAATGGCTGAGCACCCAGCGGTTAAAGTCGTCGTTGTAAGGTTCGTTGAAAAGGACGGATTAGAAGGAGCTGGGGTAACGCTGAGGCCTTCAGCAAGCAAGTCCAGTGAAAAGCATTACAGCTTCTCCACCGCCAAAATGAACAGTGAAAAAGAAAAGGCGAGTCCCTATATCTACGAGTTCAAAAATACTATAAATTTATGTTTGAAATTACTGAATTCCTATAATAATTATATGACCCGTTCATAGATTATTTAATTTTAATTTACTAACAGAACGCAATCTTTGCTAACCCAACCGTTAGAAAAAGAACCTATATGGTATAGTGAACATAGATTAAGATTCTAAAATAAAATGTTACGCTGTCAATTGGAGGTTATGCTAAACACGTAGCCTTTTTTTTTTTTTTTTCATTTACTAAATCAGGAATTGGATGAGGCTGCAGTGGCAGAGTTCAGAAGCAAATGGGATGGAATGACAGAGTACATAGAGAAGACGGCCACCAGCGTTGTGGAGGAAGTTCTAGGACTAGGACAATGTGGGGATTATGATCTTATAGTAGTCGGAAAAGGGAGGTTCCCATCACCCATAGTGGCAATATTGGCTGACCGCCAAGCTGAGCATGCTGAATTAGGGCCCATAGGAGACTTGTTGGCCTCATCAGATCGCCGTGTTTCGTCATCGGTGCTGGTAATTCAACAGCACGACACGGCACATATGGAGGAAACGCCAGTTGCAAAGGTAATTCAAAATGATTTTGACAAGCTCAAGGGTGAAGCAAGTGCTGGTGTTGGAGAGATTTCAAAGGTTGTGTAATTACAATTAACTTGGCATTCAGCAAATGCATATGTCTGTTGCCACAGTTCATTTCAAGGGTTTTTTTTTTTGTTTTTTTTAATAATCTTGAATATGCATTATATATATATATATATATATATGTTAAAGATGATGATCTTTTCGAAGTGTGATAAATTTATATTTGATTATTTATTAAGGTTAAATCTTGATGCATATCAAATATATACTTAATGAATCCATCCACTACTATAAATAAATATGATTAATTCAAATTGTAATTTAAATAACAAAACTTAATTTTAACATTAGCGTTGTGATCTTATTTATTTTTAAAGTAGGTTAAAGTATTCATGAATACTTTAAAAATAGAATAAGATTACAATATGCATTGGGGTAATGTCATAATGGGAAAGCTATGCATATTTCTTATATATATATATATATATATATATAAAATATTTATGCATGCATGCTAATATAAATGCATTGCAAAGGCTAATGGGCATTTAGAAATCATTTTTATTAAATTGAGCATTAATTATTCTCCTGCTTCTTCGGAGTTTGGACAGTGATTTCCAACCCTGAGCTTGGGTCCATATGGCCCGGGGATTTTAAATTATGAATATAATTAAAATATTAAAATATTAAATTTTAATATCTCTTTTGTTTTTTTGAAAATTTCGAATATCTTAAAACTAACAAACCGGATTAGCTTTGACAAATTTTTAAAAGACTGATGGAACCTGACTTGATCCTCGATCACTTTTATAACTGCATTCAACGATACTTTTCGACGAATAATTTCATTATAAGAGCAAAGGCAAAGACGAGTGGCAGTTATGGAACCTCATTTTAAGATTCTTTTTTTTAATTGGTTTTTGGATACTCTTAAGCTGTAGTGAGAAATTTTATTGTCGCTTTCTCTTCTATTTAAGATGGGTAATTAAAATATTCCCACTAACATTAAGGAAAGATAGATATTTCTCTATGATCCCATTCCAGCAGCCCAAATTTTCACCATGGAAATTAAAGTGCCATTGCAATGAGCAAACAAGGATATATCTATATATATTATTTATATTTAATGCTTTATTAATATATAATTTTTACATATAATTAATGAATAGAATGATATCATTTAATATGAATTAATTTTTAAAATAATATTTATTTTTTATATTTATTTTAAATATTAATATTTAATTATTAATAAAAAATATTCTTTTCACCCAAAAATCCCGAAACCGAAAGGCCAAAAAAAAAAAAACCATTTCCCACCTCCTTTTTATCTTTTCTAAAAAGTAAAAAGGTAGAAGAAAAAACCACAATCCTCCCATAAAAAGGAACCTCAGTCAAACAAAAAAGAAAAAGGAAGAGAAAGATTTATATTTTCAATCTATGGGGTTTTAGGGGAATTTGAGAGGCTATTTTCAAAAAAGAGGTAGATCTTAGCTTGAGGAACGATATAGTAAAAAATGGTGGACTTTGGTGAGGCGAAAAAGGCTTTTTTTTTTGTGTTGAAGCCAAAACTTTTGGTTTAGAACTAGCAAAATCAGGGAATTCTTATGAAAATCTATCTGAGAACGCGAAAGAGGGGGAACAGAGCTTCATTTAGGAGAATTTTGAGAGCCAATCAACGTCGAGAGCGGCGACTGATGTTGAAAACTAAGGGTAATAGTAGTGTCATAACGTATAGATCTATGGATCTATCGTTAGATTTGAAATGAAAGAAATCGTCATTAATTTTTTTTTATCAGATGTGATTGACCATTTAATTAAAATTGATCTGCAAAACAAAGCTTAGGTTCGAAAGTCGATTGCGCATGAAAAAGATTATAGCACCCCTAAAATGCTCATCCAAGAGATGTCATCAGTTTAATTTCGAATTATCCAAGCCTTAATCATTTTTTATAATTTATCAGGTAATTTATTAATTTTATTAAGATAATAAACCTTTGCAAAACTTTTGTTCATTTATTTATTATTTTGAAAACATTATCTTCAAGAAAATTTTTTTGAAAATTTTTTTTGAAGTATATTTTTTCAAAAAAGATACTAGTGGCAGAAGTTTTTTTTTTTGTTTTAAAAAAAAAAAATGGGTTAGAAATAAAATAAAATAAAAATGAAAAAAAAAATCTGCAATCAGGTCGGGTCAAGACATGGGTTGGCGCGACGGTCTTTTAGTCAACCTAGGGATCTTAATTTGCCTAAAATGATGTTGTGTATAAACGGTATATAAGGTACCCTTCAACATTTTTTCTTCAAAACTCTAGAGCCTCTCTCTCTCTCTCTCTCTCTACACCCCAAAACCTCTAATCTCTCTCTAAAAAAATTATCAAAAAATTTAATCGAAAACTAAAAACCCATCGATTTTTTAAATTTTCATCAAAAACTTTAATCGAAAATTGAAAAATCCACCGATTTTGGGAAAACTTATCAGATTTTGGAAATTTCATTTGGATCTCGTCGAAAACTTCAATCTTTGTCAAAAAATTCAACCAAAAAATTCATTCTTTGTCGAAAAATTCATTCTAAACCTAAAAAAAAAACCCATAAAAAATTTTAAAAAATCCAAAAAAATTCCTACGTCGTCCTGAAACCTCACTGAACCTTTTGCAACTTTAGGATCACCTTATAACCTAGAATCAAACCCAGAATCTCAAATTAACTCCAAAATCCCAAGATCACATTCCAAAACCCTTTCTGCCCAAGAATTTCCCAAACTTACTTTTAGTAATTTTCACTATGTTTTTCTGTCTATCTTCTATTGTTGTCTATTAGAGACAGTTCAATTTATAGGCATCTCTATGATTGATTTTAGGAAATTGACAGAATCAATCCTAGGCTCGAATCCCGGGATTGAATTCTGTCATAACGAGATTCTAGGTCCAAAATCTTAGCAATCACATTAAAACTTTGATCATGTGGGATTCTGATTCTGATTTCCACTCACGTGTGAATTGGATTTGAAAAGGAAAGTAACAAAGAGAGAGAAAAAAATAAGGAGACCAGAAAAAGAAAAAAATAATAATAATAATAATAATAATAATAATAATAATAATAATAATAATAATAATAAAATGTTTAATTGAACTAAAATGGGCTAAGATGGGCCTGAACCAATATGGACCTAACCAAATTGAGCTTAATTGGGTCCAGATCAAAATGGGCCTAGTTGGGCTCGAACCCGAATAGGTCCAACTGGACTCGGACCAGAATGTGCTTAATTGGGTCTAGACCGAAATAGGCCTAATTGGGTCCAAACAAAAATAAGTGTTTACAGCTATCTTTCTTTGCACATCTTTGTTAGACAATGATATTGTAAAGACCTAGACACCCACTCTGACATGAGTTTAAAAAATAACCTGGACTGAGCCAAGATCGGATAGCCGGGATTAAACCACGAGTCAAATAAAATGACCGAGATCGAGTTGAGGTTGAAAATAAAAGATCAGAACGAAACCACGAATCATAAGAAATGATCTGAACTAAGCTAAGACCAGGTTATCGGGGCGAAACCACAAGTTGAAATAAAGCAATTAGGACTGAGTCAAGGTCGAGAATAATGATCGGGACTGAATCATGAATCATAAGAAATGATCTGGACTGAGCTAAGATCAAGTGATCGAGATGAAACCACAAGTCAAAATAACTGCAACTAAGATCAAGTCGATGTCAAGAATATATATGATCGGGATGGAAACCACAAATCATAAGAAATAATCTGGATTGAGCTAAGATCAAGTGATCGAAGTGAAACCATAGGTCAAAATAAAATGATCAGGACCAAGTCAAGGTCGAGAATAAATAATCGAGATGGAACCACGAATCATAAGCAATGATCTGGATTAAGCAAGATCAAGCAAGTGAGATAATACAAATGTATGCCTTATCTAAGATGCAAATGTTTCATTGATTGTGGTACTAAGGCTTTTTTTTTCTCGTTTTTGTACACCTTTAGTAGAGAAACCATCAAATATTATCCTGCATGTTCACTTTTATGAAGAAATTCCCCTTCACATTTGACAAAAAAGCTATTTTTCATTAATCTGGAGGTGTATTTTTTATAAAGAAACCATCTTTCATCACCCTGGAAATATGTAAAGAAATCATTTTTCATCATCCTAGAGGCAATTTTGGCAAAAAAACTTTTGCATCCACCTGTTTGTTTATCCCAAAGAGAGCCATGGAAGTCAATTTTTTTTTGGGTCATCTTTTATCTTTATCCCTTTCAATCCTTTAAAATAACACACTTCTTATGATTTTGTTCAGTTATTAATCATTATCCCAATTTAAAAGTATGAGGATGCAAGTTATGCATTTCTTCCATTCATAGCAAGATGTAAAGAAAAAAAGTAACGTATAAGATTTAGAGAATAAAAAGATGGCTTTCATTTATTTGAATAATCAGTTACAAATAATGGTGGGAAGGAAAAAAGAATGCACATGAGCGGCTATTTGGGGTAGCAGTGCCCCAAGACAAATGATTAGATGACCATGATAACAAATCTCATATCTCATTTAAAAACTCAATTAAAACTTGATGCCCCAATATTTTAAAGCTCTTCAAAATTTACTATCTTGGATATGCCTTCCCAAGTAGTGCCAATTCCAATTACCTTTCAGAGTTCCAACCCATCATTTGGTTCCAAGTCACCCTTTCAAGTTTTTGACTTGAACTTCTCTCTTCTTTTTTTTTCATTTTTTTTATTTTTGATTTTTTATTTAGTTCAAACCGCCCTTTCGGGTTTTCGATTTGACCTTTCTCTTCTTTTTTTTTTGGATCAAGCAAAATACTTTTCCACTATGTCAGAGTTGACAGGGCCAGAAAGTTCATCTTCATCCATCTTCGACAAGATCAAAGCTCCTTAAAAAAAAGCTCTTTTTACCACATAAGGCCTCTTTCAATTTGGAACCCATTTTTCCTATCATCATGATGACTTGGAAGAATATTTTTGAACACCAATTCTTCCTTTTGAAACTGTTGAGGTCTGACATTTTTATCATAAGCTCCCCTCATTCTTCTCTAATACAATTGGCTATGGCACAACGTCATCAATCTCTTCTCATCGATAAAGTTCAATTGCCCATAATGCTTCTGAATCCATTCAACTTCTTCTAATCTCACTTTTC